TTCCCATTTCCTTGCTAGGGCTAAAATTAAACTGTCCATTCCTTAGGGCCCAACATAACATCTGCCAGATGTCTTGGCATATCACACAAGAAAAGGAATTTTCTTCTAGCATTATCTACTCTCCTCTGTTTTCTCATAATCAATTAATAGGTCACCAACACCCAGCTAATGTTTCTCTCAAAGCCACCAATTTCTTAAGTATGTGAATCTTACAAGACTCTCTCTCAATACTACGTGTGCTCTCTGTCTCTGTCTCTGTCTCTGTCTCTGTCTCTCTCTCTCACACACACACACACACACAGAGTGATTTTCCCCTCTCCCCTCCCAAGTTTACTGGCTGTTCGGGATAGACCTGTAAATATTTTCCCTCACTTTTAAATTTCCTTAGTTTCCATATGCCAATCATCCAATCATACAGGCATGTCAGAGCCTTTGCAATCTGAGACCATTATTTATATATTTCCTAATTTGTGACGGTGGCATTGTGAAATAGCATCTCTGTCCTCCAGTCATCAAGAAACATTTGATAGAGCTTTGTTAATGCTATCCCATGAGGCAGAGAACTACAAGTCACACCACAAGGAAGATAAATAAGGTCACTTTAACCAAGAAATCTCAACACCAAGGAAAATTTCAAGATAGATTAGACTCTATTAAACTCCATTGCACAGAAAACAAAACTTTTTCCAAGGCAACTTTACCATTCCTTTCTTTCAAGAAAATAGACCGCAAGTCCTCTAAGGTCCATTAGCAGAAGTGGATTTCTTCCTCCTACTATCTTCCAGAAGACTTATCACTGCATAGAGTATGTGGCTAAAGATATATACATATCTACATGTATATACATTTATAGCTATCTCTCTCCCTGAAATATATTAATTTGTTGGTCTAAAAGTCATTTCCAACTCCAAAGGGTAATAAAAAATAAACCCTTAGGGAATGTGCTCAAGTTATTTCTCATAAGTCTAATGTGAGAAATTATTATGGAATATGAAGACCCAATAAGAATCTTTCTTGTGAGAGTCTACACTACACTTCACATTCACATCTCCAAAATGATTTCTCTTTGTGATATACTAGACCCATGGGGGGTAAAAAGTTACTTTATCACTTGAGGACTCCGAAACAGAAAACTCTGACATCAAATGAGAATGTTCAGTTGACACCCTTTATTTCTCTCATGATGGTTTATCCAAAATACTTGTCACATTCAAATGTGTATGTCTAGAAAAATACAAGAACCCGTGTCTTTAATATCATGGTGCTTCCCCAGCTGGTGAAGGGTGTAAGAAATAGACATGCCTCTTAGGTAACCCATCACAACATATCCTCAAACTCCACAAAATTCCTTAAAGAACCTAAAATTTTTCCTCTCCAGAAAAGCACCAAACTATTTAAAAATTTGGTTGCAAAGGAAGAAATGTGATGATGCAAACTGCTAGACTGGCGACCAGTTTTTCATTTTTCTTTGCTACTGAAGTAAGTAATGAAATGATTGTCCAGGTAGCCGCAGGAAAAAAAAAAAAAAGGATTATCGTGGAAGTCTGCGTTAAGATCAACATATAATGTATTTATGTTTACATAAACACGTATGGTTAATTAGACACCAAATTATCTGGCAATTACTTTCCCAAATAACTCTTTTTATTCCATTGCATTTGAATTTCCCAGTGTAAACATGTAGCATCCATATATGCAAGAGCAAATTTAAATACAACACTGAGGATGTTCCACTTAAGAGCAAAAGTAATGGTATCAAAATATAACATTCAGAATGAGTAATAATAAAAGGTCTGATTTCAAGGAAGGCTTTTTAAAGTGCTCTTGGAGAGACCTAGATTGTTAATGAAGGATCAGAGATCTGAAAAGTATTCCTAAATAAACATATACATCAACTGAAAATTTGAAAATCATACATCTTCTGTTAAAAACAGTTTTACTTCATTGACCATGGGCAATTATCAGCTAAAGAACTATGCATTTTCCCTCTCCTTTCATACCCCTCAGAAGAACAATAACCCTCAATTAATGACACAACAGTTTGGTTTGAAAAATGTGATGTTGTCGTTTCCAGCATTGTGCACTTACTGAATGACACTGCTACCAGCTACTCAACAGAATATAATTACATCTGGAATCTAAAACCACTTCAATATGCACAAAAATACTGTAGACATAAAGACACAAACAAAAAAAATCTGATACATAATGAGAAAGCAAAGAATAAAACTGGTATAAGTCGCTCACCAACGTGTTCCTTATTTTCTGTTGAAGCTGGGACCTTTCTATATTTCTCCTTACTTGACAACAAGGTCCAATCAGTCTCCTCACAATTTATTAATTGGATCTGAACCTCCTCCAAGTTTTCATTCCACGGTGGAGCTCTCCTCACCTATCTTCAATAGTCCATCTAAAATTCTTCCAACATCTTCCCTCATCCTCAAGATGGCTACCTCACCTAATGGAAAAGCATCATCTTCATAGTAGGCTTTTATAAATTCCTCAAGCATTTTGGGATTTAGTTCTTTTACTGGAATCAATTACATAATTCTCTAGAACTAATCTGTGAAGAACTCCAGTCAATGTATGTGGACTAGGGTAGGAGTGGGTCCTTTCTTCAAATCACCCTTCTAAAATGTCTCCCTATAAGACTAATAAAAGCCTCTCAATTAAAAAGGTGAAGATACCTGGACGTAAGGTTTTCTCAACTGACATAATATTTGAAAAATTTGTTTCCATAGTGACATTGTTAAGAAGACATCTGGTATTTCTGAAGACTTACAGTACTTGAGAACACAGAAAAAATAGCAGGATGGAAGGGAAGGGGGAAAACAAAGGAACTAAAAGAAGGTCTAATACACAAATGGAACAAGCTGAAGAGAAATGGAGACCCTGGAGAAACTGGTGTCAGTCTTAAGAGTTCCTCTGAGGTCTTGCAGGATTTGTTGTTGTTGTTTTTTGCAGAAATCAAGCCAAAGCAGAAAATAAGGTCTTGCAATGCATCAAAACATGACAACCAGGTCCCAGAACTCCACAGTCTCAGCCTAAGGCCACAATCATCTTCACAATGAGGCAATCACATTGCCTGGTGACTTTCAAGAGACCTAGAGCAGCATAAAGTTGTGTGAAGACCTCAGAGGAAAATGTTTAAGGTTTTGCCTTGCCTTTCCTGAAGGAGGTCAAAATCTTTCAGGGACACTCAAAAGCTGAGAGAGAGAGTCCAAAAGTTTACTTTAAAATGGAAACAAACGCTTCAATAACTTGTGAAAGCACTCCTTTGGAGGATGAAAAATCTGAGCAGCCCTTAAAAGCCCCTCATTTCCCTTGCATAATGAATAGATAGTGAGGAACCACCACAAGATTTCCCCATGGAAGGGAGGAGTAGGCAGGCAAGCCTCCTCCTCCAGCCATCACCAACAGAGCTTCAAAATGGAGACATCCATAATTTTATAAACACTTCTCATCTCAGCTTTGTCTCCTGGAAACCCGCTCTCCTCCATTTTCTGGTGGAGTTACATGACACGGCTTACCTGACTCAGTTCCCAGCTTTCAACCAAACTAGTCACTTCCTCCCCAAACCTGCAAGCCACCTCCAGAAACAAAACCAAAGCAAAGCAAACAGCCAACACAGACACTCAGACACGGGCCCGAGAGCCCTGGGAGAAAGCCCCAACTGGTTGGTCTTTTCCCATCCCAGACGCGTGCTTAAAAATGAAACTTTTTTTTTTTTTGTAGGGGAGGAATATAAAAGGAACTCCAGGCAGCCTCCCTCCCTCTCTGTAGGTTAGAAGCTACAATGAAAAGAAAATGAGGGTTCCTTCAGGAATGGTGAAACGCCTGGAGAATGAACGTGAGAAGGAGCTTTGTGTTTTGGAGTCTGGACTGGAACCAAGGCAGACAGCTTGCAAATGGAGGACAGGGAGATAAAGAAAGGGAAAGAGAGGGACTGCTCCAGTGGGGGTCGGCTGCGGCGTCCCCTCGTGCCTGGAAGGAGGGCAGACCCCTGGGAACTGCACCAGGAGTGAGGCGACCCCCAGGTCCCTGCCTTCTTTTCTCCCTTCCCCAGAGGAGAGCCAAGCGTGTGTAATGGCTTCTCCTCTCCAGAAACCGTTGTCCTCCTCCACCAGGCGCTTCTGAACCCCCCAGCCTGGAGACAGCTCCTCAGCTGCTCCTGAACCTGTGCCCCCCCTCTCCCCCGGCCCGCGCCCCCCCACCTTCTCCAGCAGCACCGGCGGCTGCAGCAGCCACCCCCACCCCCCCAACACACACATCCCGACCCCACATCCCAACTTCGGGGAAAGAGATAGAGAGACAGAGAGAGAGCCAAATACCTGAGGAAGAGGGGGGTGCCAATCCGCACGGCTTTGCCATCAGGCGGGGGACAGGCAGACAGAGAGGGGGAAAGGAAGGAGAGGGACAGAAAAGAAAGAGGTCAACCCGCTCAGGTCGGGGCGGCTCGGAGCGCTCCCTCCTCTGCCCCTCGCTCGCTCCCTCTGGCTCCCGACTCAGGTCTCCTCGCCTCCCGCCCTCCGCCCCCCTCGCTGTCCCTACTCCAGTCCCCACTCTTGGAGCATCCGTCCTAAGCCTCCAGCTCTCTTCTCACTCATCTTTCATTTTCTCTTCTCTCCACAGAACTACACGAAATTAATTAAGCCACAGCGCTCCGCTCCCCCCAGCAGAAGGAGCAGCCAGCAGGAAAAGCACAGCCACCTCCACTGCCACCACCACCACCTTCTCCACCTCCTCTTCCTCCCTCGCTTCTCCTCCTCCTCTTCCTCCTCCCCCTCCTGCTCTCCCTCCTCCTCCACCCCCTCCTCCTCTTCTCTCTCGCTTCTTCTCCTCTTCCAACAGCCAGTCCATGCAGGGGACTTCCTCTCCTCCCCGCTCCACCAACCCTCCTCGGCCGAATGAATGAGCGCGTTTGTGCCTCCACCACCCGGCGCTCTCCTCCCCGGAGCACTCAGACCACCCGGAGGTGGTTGTTAATTGCAGTAACTTACAGAAGAAGCGTCCCGGCGCCGGGAGGTGTTTCGGGTTCTCCAGCCCCACCGCCTCCTTATCCTCTTTCTCTTTCTCCTCTTCCTGCTCGGGTTATTGTTGTGGAAGTTGTTTGGGAGTCTCATGTGCTTCTGCCGGGTCTCAGCAATGGAGGATCGCCATCTTCCCTGCCTTCCTCGGCTCCTCAGACTCGCTGCAGCTGCAGATGACCTGAGATATCCGTCTCTCTCCCTCTCCCTCCCTCCCTCCCTCTCCCTCTCTCCCCTCTCTCCTCTTCTCTCTCCTCTCCTCCCTCTCCCTCGCGCGCTCGCTCTCTCTCTCCCTCCCTCTGTGTCTCTCTCTGAATAATGAGCAACCAGAGGGAGAGAGAAAGCAAGACAGAAAGAGAGAAGGAAGACAATCTTCTGCCACACAAAACGCCAGAGCACCAGGGGGTGCGCGAAGCCTTTCTAATAACAACAACAACGTGCAGGAGAGAGGAAGAAAAAGGAAAGAAAGAAAGAAAGAAATGAGGAAAGGGCTGGGGGGGAGAAAAGGGAAGAATTATCCAAGAGCTGGAGAAGAGCAGGAGAAGCTGGAGGAGATGCTGAGGCTGCAGCTACTGTCCCCCTCCCGCCCCCCCTCCCCGCTGAACCCCCGAAGGAGGCAAGGTGGTTGCAAAGTTAAGGCTGGGACATTGTCTTTGTCACTCAGTGCAACACAGAGCCAGGCCAGTGAGATGCAAGTGGAGGAGGTGGCGGCGACGGAGGAGGAGGAGGTGGTGGTGGTGGTGGTGGTGGTGGTGAAGGAGGAGGAGGAAGAGGAGGAGAAGGAGGCAAAGGAGGAGGAGAAGGGGAAGAGGGAGATGAGATGAATAAAGACCTGCGGAGAAGGCGGTGCAAGGAGCGCGGCGGCCGGGCTGAGGCGTGCGCGCTCGCGTCCCGGAGGCGCCCGGCTGCCCCGGCCGGCTAAGGAAGCCCCCAGTGGGAACCCTGCCCCACCGCACATAGCGCTCCCACCATCAGCCCGGACCAAGCCCCGGCCCCAGAGGCTCCCTCACACCCATCCATCCAGAAGCCAATCTTCGCAAAGAACATACGTGGGGAACTAGAGGTTGCAAGTCTAAGCCCCGTTCAACCACGTGGGGCTTTTTAATCCCTTTCCAGCTTGCGGTGTGAGTATCTCCACTGAAAAGCTCAAATTGTCCATTACTGGCACGTATTTTGAAGTCTTCTCCCCACGAAATAAAGCCTCGTTGTGCATTTTATTTCTTTTCTGATATGGAAAGGAGGGATGGGGGAGGGAAGGAGCCCATCATTCCGAGCTTCGGAACCACCACTTTCTTTTCCTAACTTGTGAAATGTTTTGACGGCGCACCAAAAGAAGAGAGAAAAAAAAGCCTACTTAAAAAACTTTACACCCTCCAGCCCCGCGTTGTTTGCACTTTCTGGCTGATCATGTAAAGGCTACGAAAGTAACAATCAGCGCTCCTAATGATAAGGTGTCATGGTGTTGAAGAGAGGAGAGCCAAGATGAAGCTTTCACACCTTGAATTTTTATTTAGTGTAATTTCCCCCAAATCATTCTGAACTATCTATTTTGTAAAGGAGTGGGTTCCCCTACCTTTCTTCACCAGATCGAACGTCTCCCAAGGCGTTCATCTGATTGGGGGTGGGGGCGCGAGGGGGATACCTTCAGTATAGAAAGATCTATATAGCAAGTCAGGAGCAATTGAAGTTCAAGGACATGAACTGGTAGCACCATTTCTATCTCCCCCATCCTCGAGTAGGACATCAACAGCCTCGGGAGAGAGGAACACGCAGCGCGCGGAGCAGAGACCTTAATTAAAGTTTCTTTTGTCCGCGTCCGAATTGGGGGATGTTGCTGGATTCCTTTGCATAAGGGGAGCGCGCATCCGGCAGAGAAGGCGCGGCGTTGGGCATTCAGGGCAAGATTGCCCACTTTAATACTCACTCTCTACCCCCCCCGCGCCCCCCCCAACATTCCGGGAAGATATACCCATAAACCCATACAATAAAGAGGGAGGAGGAGACGCGCGCGGAGTTGGTTCCCATAGGATAGTGGGTTTTCATAAAAAGATCTGAGTCCTCCTTTTTCAAGATTTTTTCCCAATCGTTTATTCCTGGGCAGAATCTCTCACCCAGAGGCATTCTTTCACCCCTTTCCAGTCAACACTTCCTGCCCTTTTCTCCTCCAACTCACATTGAAAGCCTGGGAGCCCTAAAAGGGTGTTGATGGCGGGGGTGATAAATAAATAAATAAATGACACTCTACGCGTGCGGTGGAGAAGAAAGGAGGGGGAGGGGAGGCAAGGCGAGGAGAGGGAAGAGAATAAGTAGGGAGAAGAGAACAGGGAGAAAGGACTGAGGCGAAAGGGGAACGGGAGTCAAAGAAAGAAGAGAAAGAAGAAAGAAGCAGGACGGTAAGGCTCTTCGGGACTGAAATCCTGGCTTTGTGCAGAATAGGGAGGCCTCCCCCTTCCAGGTGCCTGGAGGGACCTAGGGAAGTCCTTCGGCCCCGAGCTCCTCCCCCCCACCCCCCCAGATCCCAGGGGTGTCAGAGCGCTGGCCGCAGTTCCCCCATAAATTCCTCGTGGCAACCGGAGGAAGCGCGCCAGGTCTCCGCCGTCCCTTCAGTTCCCCGGCTGATAATTTACCTCTTTGTCTTTAATAAAAAGCTGACTTTTTCTGTCAAGCTCTGCACCGGGAAAATAACAATCGTATTTCAGGTTGAAAGATCCTATTACAGCTGGGTTTTGGAGACAGTGATAAAATCTTCATCGACGTGAAGGTACCTTCAGGGTTGGCTCGGGTCGGAAGTCTTAAGATGGGGGCCGCCCTTCCCCCAGGGCAGGGACGGACGGAATCGGGCGGTGGGAAGGGAGGAAGAGGCGACGAGGTCAGAGGAAACCCAAAGCTTCTGGAACACCAAAGGGCTTCCCGCAGTCGGGGAATGAGCCCTGGGGAGGAGCCTTTCGCGAGAACGTGAGCGCGCCCCAACACGCCTCAGACTCATAAACCCACTTGGCAAAGACCCGAGAAGCGGCTGGCTGACCGACTGCAGTGAACTCAAGAAATTAACCTGCGCTACAATTAAACGGGCTACCGCCTTTCACACTCACCTCGAGAGACCGAGATAGCTCCCGAACCGGCCGCGGGGGGACCTGGCTCCTCCCTCCCGTCCCAGGAGAAGAGGACAAAAAGGGGAGATGGACTTGGAGATGGCCCCGCCCTTCAAACGCTCCAATCCTTGGAAACTAAACCTCCTCTCCAAGCCTCTACATCTACCGGGGACAAAGGCAGAGAGGAGATCCTGAGGCTGATGGGGAGATAGGTGGCTTCTCTTGTAGATGCACTGGGGGAAAGGTAGAATGGCGAAGTTTCCATCTCAAATCCGGATTGTCTTTAGAAGACCATCTTCTGGTTTAGAAGCGAATTGACTTCCCAAAGCCTCGAAGCGAACTATTGCAAAACTCCCTCCTAGCCTTGCTTTTTCAGTGTGGGAAGGCTGAAATTTCAGCTAATGATGCCACACATAATTTTCCTCGACTTTTTTTGGAGTCTCCAGTGCCTTAATCATCCAACTAAAATAACTGAAAGATCTTAAACATGGAGGGGGAGTGGGTTTTTTGTTTGCTTGTTGTTATTGGGGGGGGGCAGTTTTGTTTCCAACGATGGGAAAGCAGCTGGAGAAATAAAAGCTGGGTCAGGCAAGGAAGGCGCTGTGGCTGACGGTTTTAGTAAAAACCTTGATAAACTTGGCACTTAAGTAACTGTAATTATGCTTTGCCATTAGCGGACCATTAAGATAAACAAGAGAAAGTTCACACCTCCTGCTGTTTTATCCCCTGAGAATATTCACAAAGATACCACAAGTCCGTTGGTGGGTTATCTTCTTCACCTGGAAGGCTCATTTCTAAATTTTTTAATTAAAATGGAAAAGCTTACGTTTTGTATACTGCCAACAATGTGAGGGAAGTCTCATGGGGACTTGTTGACTCCGTGAAATTTGCCTTTTGTTACTCTACCCTCTGCCATTATTCCCCAGAGTCATATGGGATTTCAAGACTGTTAATATCCTAGGAAATATGAATATGTTGGGAGTCTGGACTTTTCTTCCCCTTATCATGGGTGACTGGCATACAGACTCCTCATAAAGGGAAATTATGGCTCATCAAAAAATGACTTTATGAGTATTAATAGAATAATAAATCTTGCAGTTTTAGTTCAAGAAACAGCAGAGCCTATAATCAGAGTGACCCATGCAAATACGATCCATTTACTGGTACAACTGTAGAAGGGCAGAGGTAGTCTGTAAATCATTTTGGTGTTTAAAGGTTTAGAAAGGAAGACACCCAAATCGCTCAAAGAAAAGTGTTTTGTGAGGTGGGGTAGGAGGCTTCTATCATCTGCAGACAGGAGTCATGGAAAGAGGAGTTGGCCCAGAGGTTAGGTTAAAAGAGAGACTTTCAACTGAAGCAAGATGTAGAGCTGTTCTAGCGTCATCGTTTCAATACTTAAATTTATCATATTAAAAAGGAAATATCTTCAGACTTCCAGAAAAGCTGTATTTAAATAGCTCCCCTTTTTAAAATTTCAAGGTGAAGACTGTGCAAGTTGACAATGTTGGCAAAACATGGAGTAGATGAATGGAGAATATGGCTTTTTAGAAATCTTAACTATTCCAATTTAAACTTTTGACCATATTGTGACACACCTCTTCAACTTGGTAATATTTTGCTGTCTATGTGAAACTCATTTTCATGCAATTCAATGGTCTTTTTAAAAATTATTGAGTGATTTTCAACAGGTTATTTAGAATTCTTGACCTTTTATCTCCATCTTTAAAAGTTTTTTTTTTTAAAGAAAAACTTCAACCTGGATCCTGACAAGCCCTTCAAATATAAAAAATGTGAAGTCACTACCATACCTTCTTTCTGATCCCGTACAGAAAAACTGATATATTCTCATGGACCCATGTCTAAACATAGGTAACTAATGGCCTGGTATTCATGTTTAGGGTAAGGAGACTGAAAGAAAATAAAGACAGGTGGTTGGTGGTTTTGAACATCTCTCAAAGGAAGAAAAGCAACAATAACTTACTCTGAATTTGTATATATGCCAATACCAAGGATGTTTCAACGGCAATGTTCTAAAAAAAATAAAGTATTATTTCCATAAGTAGAAGTTAAATTTAATTTCATCAAACAAGCTATTATAATAGAATATATATGCATATTACTTAACCAATAACTATTTGTTTGCATCTATGCTGTGACACAGCTGAATACTAAGAGAAGAGCCAGAATCTAAATGCATGATCTACTTCATGAACCACTAGCTTTAAAATTCCAATGTCTGATTATGGAACTTACTTACTCAATAGCAGTACAGGAGTTTGTAAGGACACTGATCAATCTGACTGCATCTTGCCCTATTAAGGAGTTACTGAGAAGCAATGTTGTTAAAATTATAATTTCACAGTGCATTTAAAATCAGTATCTTGCCTTAACTCGTAATTTACACAAAATTCTTACTAGAGAATATCATTTTAGGAAAGAAAGCAACTTTGCCTCATCAATGATTAGATTAACCAAAATTCAACAGAAACAAAGTCAACTGAAAGACTGTCCTTTTGTTAAGGCATCCCTTCAGCAGAAAGACCAGTATTTCCAGATTCCTACTTCTTGCCCTCAAAGCCCCAGAGAAGGGATGTGACTTAGCAGGGAAGAGTTAGTGAGGGGCAATCAGATCTAGAAATGAGGACTCCATGTTCTTTCCTTAAAGTTATTATTCTCATTCACCTTCAAGATTCAAGATTCCTTTTTTATTTTTTGACAATTCCATACTACTTATGCTATTATTTATGTAATATATATTGTCTTAAAAAATATCTTAGCTTCATCAGAACCAAGAGCACCAGTGAAATTACAGGTCTGATGAGCAATTTATACATACATTTCAGTACACACCCAAATAAATAAATAATTATTAAAATTGAAATAATAGAAAAGATGTAGGGATTAAATAGTTTACATGCCAAACTGTTATTAGTTAAGAGGCAAGGGAAATGAAAAAGAAAGTGTTGTTTTGTGCATGCAAACATGAGTCATTTTCATAATTAAAAACGTAAGAAACAAATTATGTGGTCTAGCGGTGGCTAGTGTACCCCCAAATTAAGTCCTCTCATTATGTACACTTAGTAGGAATTAAAAATTAGCACATATTTTTAGTACATTTAGCAATATATATTTGAAATCTTAAAATGTTCACAATTTTAAACCCATTACTTTCATCTCTTAGAATCATCAAGGCACGTTGGAAAGGTAAATTGAAAAAAAGATACAGGTAAAATATGTGTAATTAAGAGAAGTGAAATAGCTAAGTAAATAATAATGCATTCTCACTATGATATACTAGGCAGTTTAAACTTAATTTTGAAGATTTGCAATTAAAAAGAAAAATTAACTTATGCTAGGTATAAAACTTAGAATCAATATGAAGATCACACATTATTTTTTCACAATGTCCAAGCACATAAAAATCTTCTTGAGAGCCCTCCCTGGTGGCGCAGCGGGTTAAAGCACTGCACTAAGAAGCTAAAGCCACTTCCGCATGAGTTCAATCCCCGC